GGTATGAAGTTCATCGTGTCCCTCGAGCAGAGAGAGTTCATTGGGCAACTCTTGCACGTTGCAGGGACGAATGGAGACGTTACTGGCGCCCGCTCGAGGAACTCGATGATCAACGGGAGCACAGGTGATACAGGTGATACAGGTGATGCCTTTGAGACTATTCAGCAGTGAAACATCCTTCCCCGAAAATGCCTTCAGCGCGTACGCTCATCATTTGAATTTTTTCGATATAAATGTTCCCTTCTTGCGTGTGCCACGAAGCGACGATCGGCGACGGCAATGTCTTTCTCAACTGTTTTTCCACATTCGAAACCAATATCTCTACTCAGTGAAAAAAAAACATGCGAGTTCTGAGCATTGGTGCTTTTTCACCTATTCTCTCCATAACCGGAACCAATATCAGCTCAGAAATAAACCATTTCATTTCTGATCATTCAGTGGCGCAGCTCTCTTTTGGAAAAATGCTCTCAGTTACGCTCAGTCATCGCATTTGCAAAATGGATGTGCTGAACAATAATTATTCGACCTAAGTGCTCACATGTAATGCCACTAGGGTCTTTAGCCTTCGGCATTTGACAAGATAACTCTCTGTTGCTCACACTCCATATTCCGGAGGATGGGGCGTGGGTGCGTACTTCATCCGACTATAGCACAGGTTTTCTTCGTGAGATCATTCCTTTTAGGACAACTGTCATCATGTCTCGTGGTGAACAAAGGCAACTACATTTGTCCCGAAGAGGTGACACCAGCTAGTTTGAATGAGGTACACGGCCGAGTCCTTTCTACGGTCATGTAGAAGGTATGTCCATAAGGGCCTTAATCGAGAAAACGGGTCGACAGAAGCCGCAATTATTTACTGGAAAAGCTTTTCGTGGTCATATTGAAGATGTGGTAAGTAGCAGCCATCCGGCAAGTAAGCGCCTGCCCCCAATTGGCACGGAAACCGAGGAACAAAGAGCAGAAAACAGTTGCGCCCTTACATATGCAGTCTCAGCCTTTTTCTTGGAGGCAGAGCCAACGATCGTTTATAATGAGCTAAGCTCTTTGCAGGTGGATGCAAATAGTATGGACCGCAACAAACAACCTTGTGTAGGTTTCAAGTCAGAGGTGACGTCGTTAAGGCGCGAGGTTCCTCAAGTGACTCCCTCCGCCCGCATTGATAGATGTCTTATCTGCTGTTGAGATTTATGCTCTCTCTCTCTCGTTTCTTTGTCTGACCTCTCGCTTGATATCCACATCGTTTCTCCACTCGCTTCATACAAGTTGGACTTAAGTTGGGACGTTTCCGAAAGTTTCCTCTCCTCTTTTCTTCAAGAGCAAGTCACACTAGCTCCTGCACAGCTGTTTCTCACTCCGCTACCTACGAACTTTCTGCTGGCTCATAGCAAAGTCTGGCTCTGTATTTAGTTAGCAGCGAAACACCGTTCTCCCAGAAGACGATTTTAGCGCACGCATTTATCAGGGGCAGTTTGGCGACGGGGTTTGTCAGGGGCTGTTTGGCGACGGGGGCATTTTGAACTTTCGCTACTACTCATCGACGTAGAGAGCCATCTATAGAGCAATTTTCCCGGCTTACAGGAGTTGACAGGTTCTACCATAGTGGCTCGACAAGCTTGCTCCAGCTTCAGAAAAGTTCACAGGTTTCACTAGACTTGTGAAAGAAATTTAAAGCGGAACTAGTGCAGCTGTCAAAGTGGAGAATGCCCCCCCCTGCCGAATCGCGCCCACTTGGCTTTAGAGTTTTTTGATAATCTTCGAATGCTCCTCTATTGAAAATGCGCAGCACGGCAATCATATGAATCTTTCCAATTGTTCTTCCATAATCGGAAGTAGTATCAGTTCAGAAACAGACGATTCAATTTATAATCATTCAGTGGTGCCTCACAAATCTTCAAAAAGTGCTCTTCAATTACGTTCCACCATCGCATTCGCAAAATGTGGATGTGCCAAACTATTACTATCGACCTACTCCTTTCCTGGACATTAATTCAACTGCCATTAATTGGTGCCATTGATGGTTCCTAAACCAGTATCAGACCTCGGCGATGAACCGCTGTGACTGGGTCGATTCATCTGTGAACCTCTAGTGATGCGCGACACTTCTTTGAAGAATCAAAAATCTTTAGCGATAGTATAGCGCTATTCGTGGGTGGTAGTGAAACCTCGTATTCACCTAGCAGGACGGCGTTTTTCGTTCTCAACGTTCGGCGAGATAACTCGTTCCTGCTTACACTTCATATCCCGGAGATGAGTGGGGCGTGGGCGCGTACCTCATTCGACCATGACATAGGCGTTTGTCTTCAGGTAGTTGATTTTGGGACGCCTGTCATCTGTCTTGTGCTGAGTAAATACGAGTACAACTGTCTTAGAGGCCAGTTCTAAAAGCGCAGCCGCCGGCAAGTTCCAGTGAGGTACGCAGTCGAGCCCTTCCCATAGGACAGTGGAGTGTGTGTCCACGAAGTTTCAACCGAAAAAACGGGTTGACAGAGGTCGCAATCATTTATTTGAAAAGCTTCTCGGGTCTCTCATATTGAAATGTGGTAAGTAGAAGGTTTTCGACAAGTTACGGTCGAAAATTAAATCGAGAAGTCAGACACCTCTTCTAGTAAAATCATGCTTTCGGTGGAACATTTCTGATTCCTCCCTGCCCTCAGATGGCATGAAAACCAAGACACTAGCAATGGAAAGCAGTTGCCGCCTTGACGTATCCAATTGCTCTGACTCTCTTGAGTGAAACAGTGAAACACGCATCTTACAGAGAACAACTTTGGCTCACACATTTAACATTTATATTTTTTGCTTAACCCTTGATTTGATGGTGACCACGTAATTTCTGAACACTGAAGTTTTTTCACGCGTTCTTCCATAATCGAAACCAGTCACAAGTCATAGTCAAACAGTTTCATTTCTGATCATTCAGTGACGCGCGATATTTCTTCAAAAAGCGCTCTTCGATGTTCCAGTGTCGCATTCGTTGTCCAAGTCCAGCGCTGCGAGAGCAGAAGAGAGGCATGACAAATGGTTCTGTGTGCTCACCATCAGCTCTCGCACCAAGCTCCTGAAGATTCAAGGCATGCTGCAGTCTCCCTGGTTAACTATAAGGTTAGAAAAAGTCCTGCAACAAATTGAGCAAATCGTTCTGTGGAAAAATCAAAATACATCCCAAATGTTTTTACCCCTGATTGAATAAATAAATTAATTAATTAATTAATCAATAGACAAATAAATTGGTCGAGAGTGCTTCTGTAGTTTCTTCTCCGCAATCCCGGTTAGCGGGAGAGTTTTCTGTGAAGGATGCTACATGAGTTGCACTTGTCTGAAAATGCGCCCTGAATGATCATGACTGAGTTTTCTCTTCTTTGTATATAGTGGAAGGACTTTTTGTGAGACACTGGAACTGGCAACGAGTGCTGGGTCTCTTGCGTAAACCACACACATAAATTTCACAAAATCTCAAGGAAAAAATCTCCTGCAGATGCAGAAAAGCAGAAGGTGCTTGGAAAAAGATTTCATTATGCTAATGGTGGGAAATTACAGCGATTTCGCTGGATACTAGCCAGCAGTGACATTCACAATCTACTCTAATCAACTTCGAGACATGATGTCACGCTTGATTTCAATCAGAAGCCCTCGGTTTCTTTCTTCCCTTGGCAATGCGAAGACCACATTGTGCGATGAGGCTACGTTTAATAGATTATGGATCTCGATCAAAGAATGTGGGCGTATCCAGCTTCTTCACCTAAATTAGCAGCCTTCAACTGCCACCAACTCCGGCCCCTACTGCATCCTTGAGACCTTCAAAACTTCAATCTTACGCGAAGTCTACTCGAAAATTAGAAACCTCTGATTAGGTCCACCTCTTTTTTCATCGCAGTTACCGTAGTTCTGCAAGAGTGGAATCGAGAAGCTGTGCGAAAGAAGGGCATTTTTTCCAGTCATCAAGAGTCGTTTAGTGAAGGAAAATTGAGTCCGAAATTCCGGTCGAAATGTTGCAGGACTTTTTTCCGAACTGAAAGTGCGGGAGATCCCTCCCACAATAGAAATGAAAGCAGCATCAGTGCCGTTAGAGGTAAGGCCTAAATTGAAAGAGCTGCTGATGGATCGGGTTAAGAGGAATGTGATGAAGCCAAGCAAAACAAACGGACGTTCCCAATAGTTCTTTTCAAGGAAGAAGACCTGCCCGCGGCTGCGCTCATACTTTGCGACAGCGTCCACCAGCGCACATCAGCATTTCGAGCTTCTGTCAACGTCAGCGACTAGGAAGTAAATACTGTGCATTAGGATGACGTGTTCCTCCTTAGTCAGACTGCAGAGTGTAAACCAGACAACACCACTCAACAAAAACTTAACGGTCCAATATAATGATCGCCCAGGTGCCTGTCACAATCGCAGATGGTGTCATTGGAATGACATCTTCTCGTTCATTCTGATTCAATCTTACCTTGTGATCTCTCCTTGGCATAATAATGCTGTGGCTGGCACAAATGACTAGCTAGTTTGCTAGAAACGGTGCAGTTACATGAGTTTGTGGCATGGTGATGAACGGAAACGCTTAGCGGTCGCGTAGTTTCTAGTTCAGAACGGGTATTCCTATGATTCTTGCGAGCAGATCGACGATTTTGTTCACTCCTCCTCTTCTATTGAAGGCACTTTCCTCTCGCAGGACTCCACGGGTCAGTGACAAGAGAGACATATTCGCCGTACTGGTGGGCGTCGGCGACCCCAACTGCTCGCAGCTGTCAATGGTTCCTAGTAGATGGCGACAAAAGGTAATTCGAAACCGAAAATGGTCATGAATGTCCACGATGGCGGGCCTACATGAAGTCCGGGGGTCCAATTGACAGGTTAGCAGGAGCTAAAAACGCCGCGCTCATCACCGCGCGCGGCGGGACGGCAAATTACGATTCTTTAGCCCGTCTCTCGGTCTCCACGGTACAAAAAAGATTTTAGTGAAATGGAAATGTACCGGGTCTCTAGATATATTGGATAATGTGGCATAGATGATTATCCTGCCTAGGTACTTCGAATGTGGACTCGAATCGGCGAAAGGCGCCGAGAAAGGTGAAACTGAGTTACTAGTTATTCAAGCTTTCTGTTGTCCGGCCAAGACTCGGAGCTGTCCCACGTGTGTGATCGGCACTGAATACCAGTTTGTACTCGAGTAATTCCCTAAACAATACTCTTTGGCAATGAAAGAGAGTCGGCATTATTTTCAGAGTATAGACCCAAAGATTTTGTCGAACTGGTGATTCTTAGATTTACTATATGCAGGCAGAATAAGCTACTGCGATCAAGTGTTACGGGTCGTAGGTGCTCAGTCATGAACCAGTAGCCTATAACTAACTCCCCAGTAGAGCTGAAGCAAAAAAAAACATTGGGAACACCCTGGGCAGAGACCTCCTTCCTCATCAGTGAGTGCCTTGTAGTCTGTTGGATGGGGCAAGCCCAATCAGCAGGACTCCAAATGCAACCGATCCCCGTAAGAGCACAGGAAATCACCCTACGACGCTCCAGGCAACGCTATGTACACACGCAATTCCGCTTGTAAGCCGTTGTCTTGCAAAGTGAAAGTAATCGTGGTTGCAATGGTTGCAATAATCATGCGTCTCCAGTCTCTTTATCTCGCCGTTTCGATTGACGAAAATGGTACACTCTGCGAATGCTGACTACTATGCAAAATGCAGGGAGACATTTCGCGAATTATTTGATCGCGAGAACTGTGTTTAATAGGGATGTCTAACAACTCAGTGACATATGTGACACTCTCCACGAGATGCTGCTCAGGAATCACCATAACCGAGTAACCGAGCGATCAGTTGAAGGGTGCCATCAATCTTCCAGTGTGACCTTGAATTCCCTGCAAAATGCCGAAAAATGCTTTATTTTAAAACCACATCATTTCTTTTGATCGGAGCATTACTGATGATAGTGTAAGGTTGAATGGTAAGAAAACGAGCAGAACTTTTTCGAGCAGAGTTTACTAGCCAATGCAGTGGAATTTAGTTTCGATGATACCCATGGAAGGCTTGTCATGCAGTATGACCTTTTGCAGCGGCTTTCTACATACAGTACATTAATGTATAAGCCACTAAGTGTAGGACCGGAATTTTTCGAAAAACTACCGTACTTAGCTTCGTTGCAGGACCAGCTACCGTACTCTTGTGGCACATTGCCGGCATTCCATGCTGGCCTAAATTTACAGGCGCTTTCTTTTCGATTCAGAGAGAACGGAAGGTAGACATTTGTCAAAAAGAGGATCATGCTATGGATCAAAACAGTCTCTCTGTCTTTGTAGGGTTCAATGTTACAATGTCTGATAAGTTAGCATATCATTCCTACAAGCCACAGGGAAAAAATTTTTGGAATGGTTTAAGATCAACTTGATCAAAAGTACTATAAAAAACTGGTATTTCAAAAGTACTGATATTTTTAAGAAGCAGAGGCTCACAAGGTGCTAGCAGTAAATGCTTCCAAATATGCGAATATTTAACGGTCTCTGCTCTGACTCCGGTATGAACGGTGGTGTATCCGTGTACTCATTTCCTCTTTTTCGGAAGTTAATCTAGATTTCAAGCAACAAGATAGAAACTGCTCGACCGCACAGCAAACTGAGTACGAACCCTAGCCTTAGGAATGCATCTTTGAGTGGAGCAATCAAAAACTATCAATTGTAGAATTGTCTACGGTTTTGGAAACATACAGTGTTTCCTCCTGCAAATCGTGAGTAGGCTCAAGCTTCTGATGAAGTGCTCACATAACACCCTTAGCTGGTCTCGTAGAAAATTGGCCTGCGCGTATATATTCAGCAGTGAAACCTAAACAACGCAAAAACATTTTGTCCAAGTCAATTATTTTCATCTTCACAATCTAATGAACGTTTATCAACTTCTCCAAGTCCAGAGAATGGGCACTCGAAATTAGGCCAGCTTGAAATGCCTTATAACGTTGCCGGGAGTACGGTCGCAGGTCCCGCAACGAAGCCAAGTACTGTAGTTTTTCGAAAAATTCCGGTCCTATACTCAGTGTACGGGAGCGCTCCGGTCAATCGTTCGACGCGATCGATGCGCATGCTTTAAACTGCATCGATCGCTTTGAACGGAAGCGCTGCCGTCGTGAAGCCTGAACGCGCCTCAGTTGCAACTACCTGAAAAGCGACTTCTTTGAATTCCGTGGTCAAGTAAGTCGACCATATGGACCACAACACTACTGTCCGACGATCTCGTCCGCCCATTACACCTTTTACTCGCCTTCTCGCAAAATGCTCCCTACTGTGGTGTTTATTTGAGCCATTAGTGGCAATGTTTATTTCGGTATTTACTCCACCATTGACCTTCATGGCAATTTGGTACCCGTTCTTGAGCCAGAAGAACTGATCGCGGACAAAAATTGGACTAAAATTTTGTGACAGCCTGGATTGTGTGGTAGAGCCCAGTTTAAATTTTGCACGTCTAATTTACAGCTGACTTTGTAAAATTACCTAAAAGTATTGATTACGCAAGAACTCACATGCGCAGCGAATTCGTCGCAGCGCGGTCTACCACGCGAGGCAGCGGCATATGTACGATCCTATTGCTATATGCCTCAAAATTCGTGTATGCGACCAAATAGTAATACGCCACGGAGGTGGGCATGGCCAGCGAGCGGACGAGATATCTTGCTTGGCCCTTCTGCACATCGATATTTCGCCGCGCATGGCCGCATGAGATGCCTCGTGCGACGACGCGACAAACTACGACCGCCTTTCCCGTCGCCGAAGTGAGTTCACCCGAGGCCATCCAATAAGTAGAATTCTTACACGTCTGCTGCCTCTCGGTTAGAAAGACTCCATGCGCAAACTGTACACTTATACGCTGCTGCATTGGAATAAGAAGAAAAACTAATGCCGTAGGCAGTAGAGTTGAAACCATCTAATAACGAAGAGCTACTGCAGTGTCAGTGGGACCAGTACTGTGGCTTATAAACCAATTTTTTGTAAGCTCTTACATCGTAAGGGCTACATACCATGAATGCTGACTCCACAGTGGGAAAGCGTGGGTGGGAGAACCGTGGAGCAAAGATATTGCAAGAGGTCCCATGGACGCCATTAGGCCCAGCAAACAACGGGCGAGGGGGGGGGGCGTGAAAGCCTTTGCTAGTTTCCTTTGTCTAGCTCTTGCTCATTACACGTCTCGCCCTGGTGAGACCTGTAGACTGTCAAGTGAGAACGAGGATCATGCTGCTTCATAGCTTGACAGGAATTCTCAGGTTTCACCAAGGAATGCAGCAATCGATATAAATGCTCCCATCAAGCCAAGAAGTGCGCTTACTTTATTATAAGAACCAGTCGGATCGCCCAGCTGCCGCCGGGCGCTCCTCCTTCTGTGACTTCGCCGGGTGGGCGCGGTGCGTGCTAAGTTACGGATCGTTGACCAACCACATTGTTCAGACGAATGTTCTGCAGCGCGGATTTGCTGCGTGCTAAGTTACGGATCGTTGACCAACCACACTGTTCAAAGGAATGTTCTGCATCAGCCAAGAACTGAAAAGCAGCGCCCGTTTTGTCAAGACGCAGAAGCAGCAGCAGCACCCGCCGCATAAGGCGTTAGCGAGCGATCCGACTGGTACGTTCATAACCCACATAGACGGGAACAGAGCAGTCTGTTAGATTAGTCCCTGAAGCATCGTTCTGACTCAAGGCGTCTACTAAAGCGTCTTGCTTCGGAATGCACTCCCGCACTTAGCAGTGGAAGGCTTTGAATGGCCCTCCTTGTTGATGGAAGATAGTTCTGATAAGAGTGATTGAGTCAAGTTGCTGCTGTTCATAACATCTCTGTAAACAAACCCCATGCATTTGGAATAGAGCTAGCTTAGCGGTCGTACATGATGTCGTTACTAATAAGCAGTGAATGAGTTCTGTTGGAATCACTGAGATCGTTATACTTGAGTCATATCGATCGCATTGTTGTTGTGAGCGGTGAAGCGGATTTTCCCATGTTACCTTGTCATTTCAGCTCCTATCACTTCCGTCACAATATTCCCGTCCCATAACACTACCATATCACCCTATATCACTTCTCGAAATGTTTTCGTTGACAAAATTCAAAGAGTACTCGATATGAAACTTTCATTGGTAAGCTTTCGCTGTGGTAACAGCTTCTTCAGACCTCAAATAAAACAAGCATACATAGTACTTCAATTCCTTACAACAATCAAGCTGATCAAAGTACTAACCAGACTGGGCTCCCTCTTAACAATAAAGTCGCTAAGGTCTGTAATACAACATAGTAAAAGCCTACATTAGTTGACAAACCAATATACAGGGGGGGGGGCAAAAAAAGTCACTTTGACCGAGTCACATATCAGCAAAGTTTTCGCTGCCCAGACAGAGGACGTGGATACGAGTACCAGGGCGGAAGATACCCAAGATGTTCCTCTATAAGCAGGAGCTGGCTCTCGCCCATCACCTTCATGTACACCAAAATATGAAGTCATCTCCAGTCGCAGCCTGACTGGAGAAGACCGGAATTCATGTCACCTCCAAACAGCTGCGAAACTTCTAGTATGGAGTCACCCATGGATAGCTACCTGGAGACCAGTACTCTCGATCTGGAAGACCTCCAACATCGAGCAGCTCCGACAACGTCGCTACGGTCTAGGACATCATCTTCACCGTAGTCGCCGAGGCGCGAG